GGGGGGGGGGCGAGTGTGTGCTTGTGTGCGCACGTGTGTGTGTGTGTGTGTGTGTGTGTGTGTGTGCCGGGGGAAGGGTTGGTAGCACCTCCCCCACCAATCAATCAATCAATCAATCAATCAATCAATCAATCAATCAAGCAATCAAGCAATCAAGCAAGCAACCAAGCAAGCAAGCAAGCAAGCAACCAACCAACCAATCAATCAATCAAAAGGCAATCGAGCAACCTAGATTTATTTATTTTTCTATTTGTTGTTATTTATTTTTTCACACACTAAAAATGACCCCCCCGAAAATTATTTTTTTATTTTTTTTTTGGTTCGAGGGGGTAGGGTCGCGGTCCTGGTACCCCAATCCGAAACCCCCACCCCCAACCCCCTCTCCCTTCCGCCTTGGCGGGCCGCGGCATTCCGCGGTCGCTGCGGTCATGACCGCGGCCTCGCGGCCGTGGTCGCGGTCGTGGCGGCGGTGATCGCGACCGCGGGTGTTTCGTAGGTCCATTGTTGTAACACGAGGATTACTGAGTGGGCGACACACATAACTTAACAGGCCCCCATGGCTTGTTGAGCGTCGCGGGGGAACTCGAGTGGAATTTCTGCGGTGACACTTATACATTTGGCAATGGTTATTCCAACACTACTATGGAAGACGAAACAGCGGGACAGACATCTGGTTACAGCGACCAGGGCAGATTGATACGAATACCGGTTCGGCACAGGATTGGTACATAAAGAGTTTTGTGAGGTTGTTCCCTGATGCGGTATTGTGAACCGGTTTTGCTCCGGTTTGACGGCCTGCTTTTTGTTGAGGTCTTGGTTCTTCGCCTGGTTCGATTACTGTAGTTATGTACCATTAATTCTGGCTCGACATTGATACACCACGTGACTCTAGTCCAGCTGTGCTGGTCCTAAAGAGGACCTTTTCTATTAATTCGGACGGGGGTATGACTTGGGCTAATAAATCGAGTCCCGAATACTCGGAGGCGCTGTCTCTGTCGTGATTACTGCCACTTCTATTGATCTCAAGGAAATAAATCGGTACCGTTGGGTTAACTTGAGCCCATGGGGATGAACCTGAATTTATTGGTAACGATGGTCTGATAGGGTCTGCGGCCGGTGCTGCGCTGGACATAAAGGCTAGACCAGCGGAAAAGTAGGGCATTGGGGGACTGAGGCGACCGAAGGGATCGCAGCGCATGGGCAAGTGACCGCAGGGAATGCAGCGAACATGTCTGTTGGGCCCCGTGCTCGGTCACGAGGCGCTGCTATTGGCGCGACAGTTACAGTGGGAGAGGTGACGTCAACATCACCACCTGGAGGCTAAACCCTAAACCCTAAACCCTCAACACCTGGAGGCTCTCATGCGTGTCCTTGAGGTTGAGAGTGGGAGAGAGAGTGAGAGAGTGAGAGAGAGAGCGCAGACTGGGGGAAAGTGAGAGAGAGAGAGAGTGAGAAAGAGTGCACATACTAAGGGAAAGCAAAAGAAAGACAGAGAGTGAGAGAGAGTGCGCAGACTGAGGGAAAGTGAGAGAGAGAGAGTGAGAAAGAGTGCACATACTAAGGGAAAGCAAGAGAAAGACAGAGAGTGAGAAAGGGAGACTAGGGTGCTGAAAGAGCATCATCAGCAGTTGTTCCCTCGAGAGAACTCGCAACACCCGCATTGCAGCAATTTATAGGTGATGTTTATTTATTATTTTATTTATTTGTTTTTCATTTAATTGACCCCAATCCAGCCCAATGGGGGCTGAGAGGTAGTTCGTGTGGGACGGAACAGGAAATGTGTGTGTGTGTGTGTGTGTGTGTGTGTGTGTGTG